AACAAGTACACAAACTTGATTGTAGTTGTGAGTTCAACAGCAATCTCTTGGGTGTGGCGTGATGTTTTTTGCTTCTTAAAGGAAAATAGTGAAGGAAAAAACCCCAGTGTAAACAAAGCTCACTAAAAGCGAAGTAGAGCTGCGTTTGTCCCGTGACCAGACATACAGAGCAAGTGAAAAACTGTAGTGAAGTCAGGTAAACAGTCGTATTTATAAGTATATATCTTTTATATTATTAGCTCTTGAATAAGGTAAGGTGAAGGTTAAGTCTGCATACGGGCCTAGTGGCCCATCAGGCCGGACCTTATCCCGGTTTCTGTTGCATGAAGCGACTAGGAGTATTTCTACTCTCCCCTGGATGGAATGCTAGTCCATCGCAGGGTTACCCCCAACATTAAGTTCGCCGGTACCCATTTATACACGTGGGTAGAGAGAGGCACTGTGAGAGTAAAGTGTCTTGCCCAAGAACGCAACACAATGTCCCCGGCCAGGGCTCGATCCGGGACCACTTGATCCAGGTGAGCCTGAACGAAGCGTCGCAATGCTAGCCGGGATAGGCTATTAGGCTGAACTCGGTCTAGGACATAATCGTATTCGGAAACCAGCCGGCGTTTTCGAAAAATTCCCCACTGTGGACCGTTTTCGAAAACCTTCGTTTCTGGTGCCGGAAACAGTTCCGTTTGCGTTTGGACGAAAGACTAAAACGGAGAAAAATAATAATGATTCAATAGTCCAACAAATGTCCGGATACGTGTGGACGGGGCTCGAAATAATAGCTATTAACTTACTTAACTGTCATATTTATCTCAGCAGACGAGTAGTTTGTCTGGACACGAAATATTCGTCGAGATGGATGCGGAAAATAAGAACTGTTAACAGAATTGTGCGCCTAAAAGACGTACACATGACAGCAAGTGTCGTTGTTGACGAATATATTTGATAGATACTGCGCATGCGCCAAGATAAAACGAACCAACTTAGAGTTGATTTCTTAGATTGTAATTTCTTTGCTAAAATTAAAATCGCGGGGTTTTTTTGCCACTGTTTACCTTGCTCATGTATTTAAGATATGGCACTTAACTATCCAATTCATCGAGAAACGACAAGAAAATCCTATCCTCACGTTTTCGTAGGCAAGATCCTCTCATTTCTTTTTTCATTTGCTGGAAAGTTGCTATTTAAAAGATGATATTGTACTTTAAAACTTGAGAATATCAAGAAACGTTTTCCATGATCAGTCCTTTGCGAGTTCGCAGTTGTTTTACCGAAATACTCTCGTCATGAATTTTTATGTTACGTAAACCGCACGGTTCACACCTAGCGACATAACGACTTAAGGCTAGGTGAAAAGAAAACGTTAAAAATAGAGGAAGAAACCATTGTTGCATTTGTAATAGTTTAGTTTCTTTTTCTCGACGATGGTGTCGTTGAAGAAACGGCAAAGGGGAAAAATGCTAGAAGAAAAGCGGGTACCTCTAATCTTTCAACAAGAAGCTAGGAGAGCACACGGCCGGTGCCACATCCTCGTCAGAGAGCTCATGTTGGGTGGTAGAGGAAATTATTTCAGTCAGGTGAACGGGGTTTAATCTTTCTGATTTCTCGCTCATGACTGGACAAACGACACAATAGACCAACAGCATAAGGACGTTTAATTGAAAATAGTCACTGGTGGCTGCCTGGGTTCGACTATTCTCTCGCGGCTCTTTGTTATGTTTAAATCAATGTTGTTCACACTTGTTTTAACAGAAACAGTACATGATAGTGAAGTAGACATAATGACGAATGGAAAATATCCTGCAATATTCTCCTTATGTCGTTATGTTCATGCTGTTATGTTGCTGCCATGTCATTATGTCAGGATGTTCACTTTGCAAACATAACGAAACGAAGTCCTTCTTAAGTCGTTACGTCCGTTCGGTGTCGCCAGTGTGAATCAGGCTTAACGCTTTTGTGTCGCGTATTTATCTTGTTACAAATATTGTTGACTAATTGTTCCTCGTCCAAGACAGGACAATGTTTCGATCTTAAGTCAAGATGAAAAGATACACTTAAATTGCAGCAGTAAATTAAAATAATCCGATTTTGTATATAGCGCCCACTTCAAAAAATATCATGTCGTCTGCTTCTTTAGACTACGAGTAGCCCCTCTTTCGCTTAGTCCGTCGTGCGTGACGCGAAAAAAAAAACCGCGAAAGGATTTCGTGCGGCCATTTTTTCTCGCGGTTTTCTTTCGCTTCACGCACGACGGACTAAGCGAAAGAGGGACTACACGTAATCTACTTCTTCTTCCAACTGACTATTTCGTATTATATTTCGGCAACGTTTTTATGCATAAAAAAACCTATTTGCGACCCATGGCCAGTATAAAAAAGGAATGCAGAGTTTTGACGCGAGAAATATCAATTAAATCAAGATCGAATCATACTATGTGCTATATTTGTAGAGTGTTCCTAGCTGACGTCACCAAAATTCCAAAATCTAAACACTTACAGTAATATTATGATTCGATTGAGCGTTCGGGCACTTATTTAAGATTTTAGCAACGCCGAAAGCACGCCCATTGGTATTTGCGGCGGAACAAATATCATTTAACTTTCTAAATTAAATTGATTCATTCCAATTTAAAGTTTTGACTTAAACTTACCTAAACTAGTTAAAATCAGGATCTGGTTTCGTCTTCTTAAGTTTACAAAATTAATTCAGTTGCAAACACATCATTTTCAACTTGAAATAAACTTAACTTACCTCGGTCTTTGGAAGCTAATAAGGATCTTGCGCAAAATATGACTTCAACGACAATGACAAAGTCGCCCCAAAAAATTTTTATGAGCAGAACAATCTATCTTCTTGTGTACTATACAAAACTGAGCGTTACGAAGTCGTCAGTTTGCAAATCAACAACGTGAAACGACCGAACGTTTTTTAATAGGCGTCGCCCGCGTCGTCGCCGTCGTATATGCGTAATTTAAGGTCCGTCATATTGGATGTGGAGCACATATAGCTAACATGGATGGAGTGTTTACTGGTGTAACAAGAGCACTTTAACATGGCAAAACGTCGGCTGCAAAGGGGCCATTTACAGGGGAGCCTACGAAAACGCGGACTTCTAATCGAATTATTGCGTCATAAACTTGTGTTGGGAATATCTCTGCAGCGAAAGATCTTTATACAGCGATATAATGGCAGCATTAGTAGCTGTGGAAATTTCAAAAAAATTTCTGCTTGATCTCATCCCGTTTCAATGTAAAAAAGCAAGGTGAGGCCGAAAAAGGAGCCAGAGATTAATTAAGTGCATGCGAAAGTTTTTAATTTTTAAGAAGCTCTGTAATGAAAAAAAGAGACAAAACATACATATATAGGCTGGTTATTATTTAGCACAATGGTAGTCATATTGATCCGTTTAAATGCAAATCAAACGCGTAATTTTGCACTGAGATGGTAGACAAGTACTGAGAAATCGGCAAACGTTTCTATAATATAATCAAGCTCTTGAGGTTCATGATAAATCTTTTAAAGCTTTGTTATAAATATACTGCCAAAAATGCAGCCGGTCAGGGGCGTAGTTAGGGGGTCCTGGGGTGCCCACGAATTCCCTCCCCCCCTCCCGTTTAGTAAGCCTTTTTTAAGCAAACAACCTACAACAGGGGGCGAAAACGACATGACAATCTAGTGAGTACCCTCACTTTGACAGAGAGTGACCCCCCCCCCCTTTGAAAAAATCCTGGCTATGCCCCTAACACTAGACGCATGGTATAACAGAAAACTAAACAGGCTATGATGTACAGTACTCCTGAAAAGAACTTTAAATCCATTTGTACAAGGGTGAAAATATATATTTATTTAATACACAAAAATTGGAAANCCCCCCCCCGCCCTTCTTTGAAAAATCTTGGCTACGCCCCTAACGATAAATTTTTGAATCAGAGAAACCTTCTGTACTGTTTTGGTAAATATCAACGTTAACCATGATGAGCTGCTTGCGTAACAAAGAAGCGTAAAAATATAGAGTAAGAATGATTATCAAGTATCCATGATAATGGAATCAATATTCTGTTATAGTGCTCTCAAATTTGATTTTGGTGCCAGGCTGAAATGCCGATCAATTGCTCTTCGCTCGTCAACCAACCCAAACTTCTCCCGTGGGGGAAAGGAGACGGGGGGAGAGGTAACATTCGAGAAGAGAATTTTGCATTTCAGGCTACCCTTGTTGAACCATATGGCTAATTTCAGAAGCCCATGATGGTAAAGCTATAATGGCGACTAGGTTGTTGGGGTAAATGAGCCTGCGCTCTTCCGCCGAGAGCAGCGTGGGTCCGTCTCGATTCTGTTCCGCGCCTCATGGTTGCATGCCCGTCCGATTTTGGCTCCAAAGCGTTCGTCTTGTTGGCTAGCAAGCACTCGCGTGCCAGATGACCGCGATAATCCGACCCTTGCTTAAGTGCCACTGCTCGGCGCCAAGACTGTGTTAAACGAGTGATATCGTTTGCGTTGCTTTCAAAAGAGGCTTTCCTGAGAGAATGGCGGAAAGAGCGATGAGACAACATGGAACCGAAAAGTATTTTACACCTCGCAAGACAAAAGGCAAAGAAATGCTGTAATTGTTGTCGCTTTTTCATATCGGTGTTTTCCATTCTTCGTGGAATTGCGTTTAGTAGCGGACGCTTGCATGTAATAATAGTGATAACAGACATTGGGTGAGATCAAGCTCGCGCACTGTGCGTCAAATTGAAGAAATTGCCCAAGAAATTGCTTTGACAATATTTCCAAACTATATTAATTTCGTTTTTGGGACTTGATGTGCTTTCAAAGAAAACCGGATTTTCTTAGGAAACTAACCTGATTTGACTTACGCATAGGGGCTTGGAATCTTTTCATCGCTTTGAGGCAGTGTTTGTGTGAAACGCACACTAGGCCAAGAATTAATTGAATAAAAACAAAGGAAGCTCTGAAACGAAATTAAGGGAAGGAAGAACGCTTTAAAAAGATTATCAATGACATTATCCCTTTCAGCCATTGTGTCGCTTTATTCTTCAAAAATCATTTATCATATAATTACACTTTTGTTCAGTTTGCCTTACAAACAAATGACACCCTGACGGTCCATACAATAATCTTATAATTTAAAATACTTGTTCTTGGTTATAATAGCTCCAGCGAACAAAAACTTTGCTATTTTTGACGCATCCACTGCCCAAAGTATTCATTCCTCTCCTTTTTTTCTACTTCAAACAGGAAACTTGCATATCTTAAATACAATATAATTATCTCCTTCAAGGAAATTATGCGACGCTCTGGTCGAGAATAATTAACAATTCTTTTCAATGGTTCTCTTTACATTAAGAATCTCCACTACTATATAAGCAAGAGCAACTACCATTTTACTCTTTTCGTCACGAATAATGTTGATAACCACTTCTGGTGAGCGAAAATTGTTTCTTGAAGGTACCGCAGCCATGTTCTTCACAACATGGCCGGCCTCTAGATATGTATCAATTCTTTGCTGATACCAATCTGTTTAAATATGGCAGCTATTGCCGCTAGTAAATATACCTGACTAATTCTTTTTAGCAAATCTTATTTACTCGTGATTGATATACATATTATTTTACAGGATAAAATTAATTTATATTTCTTGTATTTCGTCCGCCATTAAATTCAAACAACTTCTTGTTCTTGTATAACTTTTCCCTGTTGTTCGACTTCAAGAATGCGGAGCTCGGAATCGAAGATAAATGTTACTGTCAATTAAAGTAAAGTCACATTTTTCTTCAAGTGCATCAAAAGGGTCTTATTAATTTGACTTTTCCCGGCATACTAGGCTTTGTTCTGGGACGAAGCTAAACTGTTTGTGGACTTGACACATACTGACATGTATATGTTTTCTCCACTCACTGAATGTGGAGTGTGTTGGGTTTGGTTCCTCGTTTAAGATAGTGGCAGCCCGCAATCTTTGCAAGCACATTCCAACACAATTTTTACTTTCTTTATCACAAAGGAAGGATTCTGTCCGGGGCATTCCAGCCGTACAGTTTTGGATTCCATCCTTGACGGAGCACAGTATGAGCAAGAGAAAAACCTTTTCGGGATGTAAAATGAATTGCATTGTCCGTAACACATGTTGTTCTCGACCTCCACTGTTGTGCAGCCATGGTGTCGAACTGTCTCTTTGAAAGGATGCGCGTTGCACCAATCCGTTTTCAGATTTAACCTTCCCAAACTCAGCACACTGCTTCCGCTCAAAAACGGTAAGTCCCGGTTGAATGTGATTGGCTTCGATTGGTCTTTTACCACGGAGTTTTTCTCATGCTCTCCGCGATCAAAACTGACTTTCAGTTCAGGAATGTTCTCACTTGTTTCATCCGGTTGATCCTGTGGCTTAATTGGAAGGAATTCCCATGGCTGTTTCTCTGACTCCTTGTCACCACTCCCCACAGGTGAGCCACTGCCGGCGCTTGCTTTTGAGGTCGGCTCGCTCAAACTGAGGTCCCTTTGCGCGGACGAACGAAAAACTCGAAGTTGCATTAGTGTTTGTTCATCCTTGCTCGTCACAGGCAAGCCATTATTTTCTTGGCTTTCGTCGGATTTTAAATTAAAGCTGTTTTGTGCAGTCTTTAGGCTGCCCAAAGTGCGCACTGCTACGCTCTTTCCTGCTCTGGGAAGGACTTGCTTTCCAAGAAGCCCGTTTGAATCTTGCTTAGGCAATTGCCCTTTCTCCTCTGAAGGAAGCGCGCTGGATTTGTGATTAAGAAAATCTCCCAAAAGTGGAATGGGAGACGAACAATGCGATGGCAGATCAGACAAAATTAAGAACATCACCAAACAGCAATGAAGGAAGTTAACGACTCCTTTCACTCCCATCTGAGAAAATAAAATATATCAATCGGTTTCAAGGCATCTTTCTAAAACATATCGAAGTGCTAGAACTAAGCGAGTTTATCTCGTATTGCTACGTGCAAATCTACATAGAAGTTTCGCGATTAAGATATTGGTACCTATTTTTCTGGCCACTTGAGATGCATAATTGAAACATTATATAATTAAATGTGTTTCGTGTTATTCTACAGCGCAACTCCGCGTCTCTACTGCAATAAGTATTTGCGCGCGTTCATAAAGTGGAAGGAAAATAGAAATTTTCGTTGAAAATAAATAAGGTTCGCTTGAAATGCAGAAAGTCAGCATAACCTTTGTCGAAGTTGCAGAGATACACACACACGCATAAAGCAATTAAACGGCTTATTTGTTTGTAGGGTTTTCTAGTTTGTTTAGTAAAACACTCGTAAATTGAAGAACAGGAAGGAACTTGCGAATTTTGCTACTGTACCCGTTTCAGAACCACACACATAGAATTGGATTAATTACCTTCAATCCTCTTTAATCAGTGGAGGTTTCCTTCTTTTCGTTTACTTGCTGCAACAGAGAACAAAATACAAACACGTTAGAGGTTATCGCTTTTACCAATCACAAAGGTCTCTGGTCAAGAAGGGGTGAGTTGATTGTCGGTACTGGAAAGTTGTGAAATCGGTTTTTCTTAACCGCTAACTTACCGTTTTAACAAACGATTATTACTCTTCTAAGCGATAGAAATTCAAGCCTCCAAATGCCAACTACAAGTGTGGCGCTGAAGCACTTGTTTGAGAATAAGATGTTTTCGTTCAACCTTGACTGTATATTGTTTTTTCGCACGCCACTGCCGACACAACTACTGTAATTTACACAATTAACGCACATTTTCTTTGTTTGCAAACCTTTACCTTCGTCAGACCGTCTGAAAAGCCAATGGGTGATTTATTGAGTTAAAATATCGATTCGTTCCAGGGGAGCTCAAGACTTCTGGCGCCATTGACGCGGCAATGAAAGCTCTTTTTGATTGTCTTTTGTTAACGTATTGAAGCTTTCGGCAAGGGCCGACACGTGCAAATAAGGTCGCTGTCTTCTGTTAAGTTTTCAAACAAAACTCGTGAACTCGATAACTCTCTTGCTCGGATTTTGATGCAATGTTTTCTTCCCGTAACTTTGTTAATAACTGTTAACTGAACGCTAGAAAAAAAAAAGAAAACAATAATTCATTTAACATGAAAATTTATAGTACCTCATTACATATTTACGTTTTCATGGTGGCGCCAGAGCGGAAGTCGCTTCAAAGGGTGTTCAGAGAAAGAGAAACTGTATTGAAATCATCTTCACCATCCGCCATTTATACCGCTTTTAATACACTCTTGTAAAATTAGAATTTACGTAATTTTGTTGACGCCACCGTGGTAAAAAGGAAGTCTACGACTTTCAGAAATTATTATAATATTAAAAAGAATTTGTTTCCGTATCCAGCCATGGCGCCGCACGATAACAGATATCTTTTACATTCTTGAGTTAAAAAAGACCGCCATCTTGAGTCGAATACAGATCAATACACGCTCGTCTACGCCGGTCTAGTGGCAAAATCGCCAAAACACAATTAGGACTGCGACATTTATTTCTGTTTACTTTTTGGTGAATCAAAATATAACAAATTCACTAAAGGACGCCCAATAAAGTAACGAATTATACGCTGTAACTCTTGAGTCATGTCTCTCAACACACAATATTTATCATATTTTAATGATCAGAAGAAAAACAAATATAGTTTCATACGAACAACACTAAATTCTCAATACTTAACAAATAGAGAATCAATAGCAAGTAGCAAAGAGAATTTACATTTTAAACCATCAACATCTACGTAGATTTATCTAACAATTTGAAGACCAGTCGCATCTTGGCCAACGCCATGGCCCAAATGTATGGCGACCTAACGCAATCAAAGATTGTTTGGTGACCAAATGGTTTCTCGTTTGGACGCCTTGTTTGATCGTCCTTGATCGTCTTTGATCACGTTTGATAAAATTTGAACGTCGACAAACACTCAGTGATCAAACGCTGTAAAGCATTTTGTTCGTTTGGACGCGCGGTGATCAAACATGTTTGATACCGGAGTTTGATACCGTTTAACCACTCAGTTCAACTTCAACATATTTGGTGCACAAAAAAGTGTTTGATCGTTTTTGATCGGCAAACATTTTCCGTTTGGACAGTGGTTGAGGCAGTTTGTAAAGATTATTAAATGCCTATAAGCACAAATTCGCCTTTAAAATTGTTTTTTGGCTGCTTGGCTTTGAATACCTCTCTTAATTTAGCCCTGGTTCAAACTGAGCCAAAATATTAACAGTGATCTCTGTAGACTCAAAGATCTATCAATGTAAAGTCGCCTTAATTGAGCGAATATTCTTTCTCGATATTGGAAATGTACGTTTCTCTTGGAGAGGGGAATAAGAATACTTCATGATTTAACACCCTTAAGTTGCCCCCAGTTACTCAAAACAAACATTTTCAATCTTTATTTTACCTTGTGTTTATCGCAATCACTTCAATTCTACTGACGTAAGTTGTCTTAAAGACGTCTTTCCTTAATACGTCTTTCCTTAAGCGACCATAAAAAACAATAACGGTCGATATAACCAAATAACTAATCCATGGAGTACTAAGAATATGGCCCATTTAACAGGGCGTTAGTTAATTTACATACTGGCGCCCGCGAAAAAACTCATGCATTTCAAATGAGTGAGTTACAAAGTTTGCTTGCTCTATCCGAGCACATTTGGAGTTTCTGTAATGCGTTAGAAAGTTAACTCAATGTCTGCCTTTACTGAAGTAATACCCCTGGTTAACAAAGATTTGCTATATCGGTCATTCGTTTTGCACTCGACGAGTTCGCTGTTGATCGCTGTATGGAATCCAGGTCACTGTATTGTCATATATAAGGATTAAGTAGAGATACTCTCACTATATTTCGAACCGATAACCTATACTTTTGAACTTTCGTACTTGCAGGGAACGCAAGTCCATAAGGTTGAACATTGTTTATCTAAACCAGGGCGATAAGCGAGTTATCAACTGGTGAAATTGCCCGGGCGTGCACTCGGTGGACGTCAGTTTCAGTTCGTTGACTAGCGGCGAGGACCGATTACAACGAAGCTATCTATATCTAGGCGCCGAATTACACTTAAACACTTCCGTTGAGTAATAACTCTTGGCATGTTTAGCTTTGTCTTGAAGAGCACATTCGCAGGTACTTCAACTCTGCACATAATCTGCAAACGAAACACGACATGAAGTTTATCTTGATGTCACTTCATAACTCGCCTTGTAGCATCGTGTCTCGTCATAGTGTCTGACGAACAACCGGGACTTGGCATTTCAGGAGTCTGGGCACTAAAGTATTTAGCCAGAACTTTTACTATCACGCTCGCCCCACAACTTTATAGCTCTTCCGCAATAAGTCTTGACTCAAGACTTATATTGTGGACTGAAGACTTATATCCTCGAGGGCGCGGTAGCTCAAAGAGCTCAGACGTTTCTATCATCTTCATGTACTTGGTTAATAAAGCGCACAGAATGTCAAAGAACACCGCTGAAAATAAGTTATAAATCACGAGGCATACCGAGGAATGATTTACCAGGGTTTTGAGTGTTTGTCCTTTATCAAAAAGTGTTTATATTTCGCCGATATTAAAACCTCGCTAAAAACGCCCAGTTATAAAAAATTTCTCCACCCCCAATCTCATCCACACTAGTTGTATGACTTCCACCTTTTTGCTGCCGCCGACTGCCGCCGTTTGCTTATTTTCCCGCGCTTTGACAACGGTTGCTTGTTTTTCCGCTCTAGGCAACGGTTCCTTGAAACTTTGAGGACGGTTGCTCGCTGGCTACGGTTGGTTATTTTCCCGCGCTTTGACAACGGTTGCTTGTTTTCCCGCGCTTGGCAAAGGTTGCTTGTTCTCCCGCGCTTTGACAACAGTTGCTAGTTTTCCTGCTCCTCGGCTTTTCCGCGCCTTGACAAGTCTTACATGTTTTCCCGCTGTCAAATATATATATATTTTTTCAAATTTCCATTTGCGGTCGTGGTTAATAGGTCTATAAGTACTTTTATTTTAGCCAATTAACGTTAAGAAAAACACTGAAAAACTGCTCCAGCCGGCTGCCTAATTAAGTGGCCTCATTAGAGCTCAAAAATAAATTAAGAATTCGGAAACCGGAATCATTAAAATAAATCAATGAAAAAACTTCATTGAGCCCGAAATCGCGAAACAGCTAAAAGATTCTATTTTAAGTTATAGATTTCCTAATGTTTTGCGACTTTAAGTGGTGCTACGATAATTAAAAAGAAATACCAGTACAACATTTTTATTGGTACACAAAATGGGATGATTAAAATGTCTAGATACTTGTAATATGTTAACTACGGTTGGCAAATGACTATTTTATACGGTCAATATCGTTTCGAACCATCCTGAGCTCACGGTTTCTGGCAAGGCATTGTTTACTATACCTGACTTAACGTATCACGCTATGGGTGACTTCAGTGAAAAGTTGATCCGGTACAAGGTTCGTTAGGGCCAAGAAAAGCCTTCAGGTTAGAAACTTTTTGAAAGCCAAGCAACATTCGGTTGAAGCTCGGGTACGATAATCGCTTTTTTTTTTCCTCTGGAGGGTGGAAACACTATTACGGAAAATTCCGGTTAATCTCACTCATAATCCCCTCCTTTTATCCCTGACTGAAACCAATATTGCAGTACAAGCGATATCAAGATATGATATACCGCCCTCTACCTTTTCTATATTTTCTTACAATTTATATTACCACTAATACTAATTCCTCACGGATATAACTGAGCCCCGCCGCGTATGCCCTCCTCGGGTATAAGTCGCCCCCTCCCTCCCAAAAATCCCTCATCACCCCAGATCTATAACTACTGGCTTGTGCTTTACCAGTGCTGTCTAGTCGTCATAATTGGTTTTAGAGTTAAGTCGTAATGCTAACGATAGTGGTGACAATTTTCTAAGATATACATATAGTTGATGTGGACACTTTGTGTTGGAGGAACTGTTTCCATAGTTTCACTACTGCAGTTAGATTTGGTTGATTGGTCGAAGTGCCCCTTCAGTAGCCACGTCACGGTTTGCGCATGTTGAAAAATGTAGCCTATATTTTTCAATTACGTCGTTTGTAATCTGTGTCAATCTTCTCCATCCTTAACCAGTCTTGTTCCTTTATGGTTTATTATTATCTCTTTGGTGTTTTTCTATCTTATTAAACTATTATTTTCTGGTTTCTTTCAATTTAGAAGTAATCTAGTGTTTTGAAGATGAGTCAAAGAAGGCAAACGCCACAGTTAAAACCAGCCTTAATATCTCTTTTGCTTTTTTTTTTCTATCTTAGTAAACTATTATTTTCAGGTTTTCTTTAACTTAAAGGTAATTTAAATATTGAAGATGAGATGTCAAAGTAGGCAAATGTGCTGGTATAAACGGCCAAAGTCTCAGGTGAAATTGTGGAGAACCTTTCATTCTCCTCTATCTAGCCTGCTTGAAGTTGCCTAATTGCATGTGTCTACACTTATCCCACCTTGTTGTGGACGAATCTCCTACTCGTTAAGCTCTGTTCGTGTGTGTCCCATCACATATTTTGAAGCACATCTATAAAGCAGTAATGGCTGGCTCCAAGAACAACAAAATTGGAATCTCTGCTACCGAAAGATTTCGTGAGAAAGGCGCGCGAGTCGTTATGGCCGATTACCTTTTTGTTCCGCAAGCAGTCGACGTCGTCACAGCTTTTCTAAGAGAGTGCTTATATACACGGACTGAAACAAATTATCCGTTTTATAAATAACTCAGACCTTGGCCCGTATCTTGTTTTATCAGCAGGATCATTAATTATTCTTAATTTGTTTGCAATTCATTAATATCGTATCTTCTGCACTGACATGCTGCTTTTTAATTAGTACAAACAGGTCGATACGTAGCTATCGTGGTATAATGAGCTTAAGGTTTGGACGATTATCTGTAGTCAGCTTATATTTAAGCTTTGTCTAGAACTTATTGTATAGTTATGAATCTGTTTACGGAATTTTTGTGTCGCTGTGCTTTATTAATAAACTAAAGAGCCCTCTTTGTGTTGTAAAAGAGAATTTCAACATGAATAAACTAAGACTGGAGATATACTCTCTTATCTTTAGGTTCTGTCCACACTACGCAGGAGAAATTGGGAAAAACAACAAGCATCGCCGGGTCATTTTGAATTTTTGTTTGAGAAAACTCGGTCAGGGAAATCACCTGATTATCGTGGTGGAATCGTTTTCCAAAAGCTTCGTTCTCAAAATGTTTCTGTCTTCACTAAAAAGCGAAGCGGGCATTTCCAAATTCCTCCGGTTTCAAGAGTGTTTTCGAAAGGTTCCGTGTGGACGGTAGGCCTAAAAACCGTAGAAATAAAGCTGCGTTTTCAAATTTCGCCGCCGTAATGTGGACCGGGCCTTAGTGTTTCTCAGTTCCTTTCGATCCAATGATGATCGAGATAAGACTGAAATAGCCTAAGCGAGATTTTGGTCTCAGGGACTATGAATACTACATAGATAAATAACTGAGTAGACGGAAATACTGAGCCGCGATCAGTGAATAATTTCACCTCTCAGACAAGCTTAAAGCGGTAAATCTTAAATCAAACAACTTATCACCCCAGAAAAAATGTGATAAGTTTCCCCCTAATCAACTTAAGACCTAAAGCTTTGTTTTGTATAAAAATTGACAACGTTTTTGATACTTGGATTCAAGGAAACATAGCGTATTTTTGGCGACAAAGTTTTTAACCCGACTTCAAAGGTGAAGGACCGACGGCTTAAAGAAGAGCTTATACCGATAATTAGTCTAGCTAACATTTGAACTGACAAATCCAATGCCTTGACTATCGTATATAACAACCTTAAAAGAAACTGACAATCGCGTTGAAACTGACAATTACGTACCCAAATTTGTCTAATAACGTGTGATAATAGTATAAGTAACTTTTTTAACTTCCTATTTCCACCCCACAGTTCAGGACGTGTTTTGGGATCAATGCATTCCTTTCTAACAGGGAACCGCAATCGCTCTTGTTTTTACACCTCACATTCCCTGAATGTCTGGCTCTCAAAAGTAACAATAACCCTTAAGCAGTGCTAAGCTAACACATAGGCTAAGCTGCCGAAAACGTGATCCTGGCCATGGATAACTCTGTGCTGTTCATCTCATTCCATGTAACTAAATTAAGGAAGACGATATCATAGCTAAAATTAGAAAGGTTTTACCTCCAAAAGATAAAGATTTTAGAACACTGAGGAACATGTATGTCTGGATTTATGAACAAAGAAAATATCGCCCGCTCAAGCGTTTTTTTTTTCTATCCAAAGAATATATCCAAAGTAGACGAGAAAATAATTCAAAGGAATGTCAGTCCTTTTTTTGAAAACAATCTTTTAGAAAATCTCGTGGCTTCCGCTCAACCATTTTTTTTCTCGCCCGGGAATTACTTCAAAGTAGACGATAAAAAATTCAAAGGAATGTCAGTCCGTCCTTTTTTTCTTCAACTGTCTAATCTTCCTTTTCATGCACTTCTGTATTTGTGATTTTTTTTTATCCAGTCTTGGAGTTATTTTAAGGCTTTTAGGAGTAGTCACATCAAAGTGCGTATAGGTTATTTGTGGAAGAAGGACGCATTTTACATTGACGCAGTTTTCATAAATCCAGTGATATATAGAGCCAGTGTGTGAGAAACCATGGAAATTTTGCGTTTGTGTCTCAGAACGGAATATCTGCACTGGAGTTAAGCTAAACATTGCCACTTTCAAATCAATGTAAATATTTCAGTCTGCAAGAACACCCGAAAGTTCTACCCTGCAAAACTATCGAGATCTATCAAACCGATAACTGTGAGGTCCACGTCAAACGTCGAACTTCACATGAGACGAGCTAAATTGCAATTCGAGTCGATTCAACTAGGTAAAGCTCGACCGTTGGATCAAACGTCGAACTTAATTCGAATTTACATCGTACCAACATGTTTATCCATCTAAATTCAGTCGGACGAACTCAGTTGAGTCAAATGTCGACTTTAGCTTATCATGAGCTTACTTCGTTCGGTTTAGCCGTTCGTCTCATGCGAAGCTCAACGTTTGACCTGGGCCTTAATGCCGAAAACAAACAAGCCAACAATTAACCTTCACGTTAAAAATGAAAAAATCAAGGAACTAAGCTGCATTGCTCGATTATTTACTTTTTTGTGACAACTTTTCAAGTTTCCCTATAGAAGACACATTATGTTGTAGGATAACCACATGCGATTGCATTATTTAAGGCTGCTCCTGTTATCTATCGGCTTATGTTTCTTCGCTTCATTTTCACAAAACCGGATTAGCCAGTTGTTCCGCATATGATTCGGGTTTAACCCCTAGGATGTTGGAAGCTCAAGGGTCCTCAAGACACTTATTTTGAGGCGCTTATATTATTATTTGGACCTAAAATTAAAAATGGGGTATGCATGTTGTATAGTGGACCTTTTTCTGAAATAGATTTCTGGGAACAAGGAAATGATTACGAAAAATTATGAGACACTCACTTCTGAAAACGTTACTTTTCCACAAAGTTCCAAAGCAATAAATTCTGAAACAGCAGCAAGTCTCAAGTGAATCACCACCTGCGGAGACTGATAGCATTCAAGACCTTGTCAATTCTCTGATGTAGCGGTACGGTCGAGGAGCGTTATATTTATCCGGAATCAAATCGCTTTTCATAGGCTGGTGTGTTAATTGGAATAAAGGACACCAGCTTATTTAAAAGATTAGTTTAAAACCCTAGAGGACTTCCGCTGAATAAAAGCGAGCAGGGACTGACTAGTCGCACATTTTTGAGATTTATTTCTGAAAAAACCAGAAAAGTACCAGAATGTCGTTTTTAAGCCATTTTTGCCTCTAAGGGTGACCAGTTTCACAGCATAGGGTATAACTGACCGCGCACATTTGAGATTGAATATCATAGATATGAAATTTGTGGTAAAACACGCAGTTTTTACCACAAGGTCACGTGACGGCATGCGCAAGGTTCCACGTCAGCGCCATATATGGAGACGCTCCTGGGTTCCAGTGAAAACAAGGAAAGGACGGGCATGCGGAAGATAAATCAGTCTTACGATAATATTTGTTTTAGTTAAGCCAACACTTCGTAAATTATGCTAAGACGTAACTTTAAAAACAAACAGCAGGAAACCGACGGTAAAAAGAATCATTAGAATAAAAACAAAAAAATTGACGAGAAGAAAAGACAAAAAACTTGCCAAGTAAACATAAGTCACGTGGGTAAAGCTGAAGTGAGCACGTGGGCGTTGCAGCCTGAATTCTTTTACAGATAAAGTTAAAGCACGTTAGTTCTAGCAGCTTTATAGAAACAATTTTCAAATTTGCGACGGAGATGTGCAGTTGCAATTTTTTGGTGCTTACTACATTTTCTTAGCAGGAAACGTCCGTAGACGAGGCCAATTTCTAAACTTCTTTCATGTGTAGAAGAAATGTGTGGCAAAGCTACTGGGGAAAAATTTCAGTTCCGATTTCTTCCAAATGGAATCGTCGAAACTTTGACCTACCGTTCATTTGTCGGATATCCTACCACTAGACTACATGGAACTCGCGGGAGCAGGACCAAAGAACAAGTTATTTTGAATTCTTCCAAGATTAGTACTAGAACAATGAATTTTCACCGCTCACAAGTAAGTTGGATGGGAGAATTAGGAACGGACGCGATACTGCAAGTTTATCGAAGGATGATGCACTTTACTCAGACACTGCTTAAAACCGTTTCTGAAGAAAGACAGGATTTGGGAAAATAGATTTGGACAGTAAACTAGTAAGGACACTTAAATAAAGGATCGATTTTAATAATTTAAAACAATAAGAACATTGAAATCCTCGAGCTCTGTAGAGAATTCTCTTTGTTATAACATGTCTATGAGAGAGGTCATGATGACGTGAAGATGTTACTGAATTATGCAAAATAAGGTACAAAAATATTTATAAACAACGTCTACGCGAAAAACATGGCTAAAATATCGTTTCTTTGAAATGTTTATACCTTTAGGAGACCGTTGAAGTGCTTGATTCGCCCCAAACAAGCTCTTGTTCAACTTGTGGGTTATCAGAAAGAAGATGAACAATATAAATGCAACTTTTGGACTTTTGTCAGATTGCGATGCAGAAAAATAAGTTTGAATAGTGAGTAAGAAAGGCGACATACCAAAAATGAATTTAAGTTTTACATTTTATACTTTTCGTAACCATTCCCTTATCACTTCCACTGATGTCAAAGCAAAAAGTCTCGCAGTTAATTTAGTCAGCAGGCATTTCAAGCATTGGTTCTTACTTGTGATCTATTGGAGGACAGACGCATATATGACGTCATTGACATTTTTGGGGGGTTCTTTATAATATAAAACAAGTAGGCTCCGTGCCCAGGGGATACTTCCAAAAAAGTTAGGTGGGGTGTGCAGCCCACTTCCCAAATCCCTTACCCTATTTATGACCAAAATCTGCGTTTTCGCTACCCTATTTATGACCTGATGGACCAAAAATTCGATAACCTATTTATGACCGTTGGGGTTGCCACAGTTGGCCTAAACATAAGTTGAAAAGGGCTTTGTTGACAGTCATACCGATAATGATGAAAAACTAGTTTCTTCTAAGAAACATACCCAATTCAAGACCAAAGTGCAAAAACCATACCCTATTTATAACCAAAATGGCCAAAATCGATACCCTATTTATGACCAAAACGGCTGAAAAACCCTACCCTATGGGGCCGCCCATACTTATATAGACCAAATAAGGGAGTAACCCCCCCCCCCCACCCCCTGGGCTCCATGTTGCTGTGCATCTGTTCAGAAGATGTCAAAATGTGGCCACCTTCTTGTTCTTGCCATATTTTGACGTCATCTGTGATCTATTACTGAACAGAAGTACATCAACGTGGAATCTATTTGTTAAATAGACTCATGAAAAATGCTTCTCTGTGGCCGGGTCAAAGTTCTTTAAACAATTAACGCATAATTCGATCATTTTACGTTGCTTCAATTTCTCCCGTAGAGAACGTCTAATACGAGTGTAACAGGATGTACAACGCAATTGCAAGCCGTTTCCTGACAGTGCTGGCCAAATTACTTAAGTTACAGTTTATCACTTACCACTTTAATTAAAACATTTCCTACATCTAAAGGATTTTAATACTCTCGGCTAAAGAAGCTGTAATCGATGATCAAGGTTTGCGGGAGGAAATAACAAAACAAACGCGTCACTTGTTTACGCTTGGCCTCAAGGAGGTCTGTTGAGGTCATCTTTGAAGAACAGGTACTTGCTGATTCGAAGAGCATCTGACAGCTTATTATCAATATCGATCATATTCATGTAAGCAAAACGGAATTAAAACATTTTATCACGTTTTATGATATCAGACAGAACAATGCTTTACTTAAGGATAGCAAAGCATAAAATATTAATGCAAACATAAATTGTATAACAAATTTAAGATAACAGTCATTTCGATAATAATCAAATGTGTGAAGATTGTAATAACTTGAATGGCCCACTGAAACGCCCAATTTTAAAATGTGTCTCGAATTACAAGTGAGTTTTGAATTTGGTACAATGTAATATTTTACAAAAAAGATTTTGGACCAGGCCTGTTTCCCTGTATGACGTCGCATTTTCTAAGCTCGACTTGCCGTGTAAAAGTACTGATCACATATCTAAGTACTTCAGTCATTTTGATGTATCTACCAGATGTGGCTATTCATAACAACTGACTTAAATTAATCTACAACTTGTAACGTAACAGTGCTTTTCTTGTCAGTTTTAGAATTTTAAAACACGGAGGCTCGTTGCCGAATCAAAACAATTCAGTTACAGAATCAAAAACAAAGTCTCAATTGGTAATTAGAGATAACGGGAAGCACCTTTGTCAGTTTTTGTATAGAACAGATCTGGAATATCAAACACAGGAAAGGTTGTTTACAGTCTTTATAAATTAAACTGTATATGCTTTTAAAACTGCACGTATCATCGGGCAGTAACTTCCTTATTTTTTCGGTTGTTTCTACAACCAGTCAGGCATACATATACACTATACATCTGTGCGCTCTCTCGCGGTTTTAACAGAAAACAAAGCAGGGACACGAACATCTTTCATTTTGCAAGTATACAGTGGTGCGAGGAAACTTGTCCATAGCATAGATCAGAGGTGCAAATGATTAAAACGGCTAACCACTTCCCGAATACAAGCGTTTTTTACGATTCAACCCATTCAATTAACCAATAATTAGACGACGGTTTTAGCGGTTGACCAAGCCCACGTTCGTATCACAGCTGATAAACGAGGGTTGATAACGAAATTCAGATGACATTCAGCGACAAAAGCGAGAAAAGTAACTGATTTGCAAATGACTTCTACGCGTGTCTACAAGCCCTACATCATAGTAACTTAGACAAGTCAATAACAAGAGTATAAACCAAGAAAGCAACTTACGTTCATTAGTTGTGTTCCGCCTTGTTGCGTTTCTCGCCTTCTCTGGTGGTCATCTCGATGAGGTACAAATATGATGCTACTCGTGGTAATTGCGGACACGCGATCTTGACAGCCAGACAGTCGCCTTGCACAGCACGAATGAGGTAAGTAACGGCTTTTTAAGACGACTGTGCAATTTGTTTTCCAGTCCAATAAAAACAACGATTTTCTAAGACAATAGCAGTTCTTAAGTGTTTTGTCTCCCAATTGGATAATCATGAACGGCTATCTCTGGTGAGCTGAAATTCAACCCCCTTTAAGCTACACATCTGGGATAAGACAAAGGAAAAGTTTATCTTGAGCAATGATTTATACACGATTGCTTCAATTCCCAGTTGGGCTTGCGACACGCCATGTTCTAATCTTTCAAGTTACTCCCTAGTAATCCGTTAAGAAAATGAGATTATTTGCGCCACTTTGCGATGCTTTCTCAAGATCACCCAAAATAGCGCTGACCCACCTCTTAAAAACACTTCAAGTTTCCAACCGAGATCGTAAAACACCTTTTAAACTCATTAACATTTTCTCTTTCTGTTTAATTGAAGCCGGAAGTCCGAAAGAACTGCGATATTGTTCAGTCTGACCATTCAAGGATTTCCCCGTTTTCCGATGGCCCGCTGATCGAGGGAGACGTTCTCTGGGTGCAAGCAGACAGCCTGTCTCCAATCTGAGGAAATTAATACTATACAGAGGGAATGATATGTTTACACCCATGCCACACGTCAATCGTTAGTTTTCGGTACTAAATTTAGTTTTCCAGGACAATGACATGCTACATAAATTACCAGAGTCGCATAGGAGAAAACTTATAAAAGCGAACCCATTCCTGCTGGAGAGTTGGGAATGCGTAATTTCTTACGGCTCGAGCCACGTTCCATAAACTGTGTGTAGCCTCAATTATATGTTTAATCTTAAGGCCAAGCTACTGCGCGTGTCACCCTCTCCTCCCCTAACCCCAGATGCAAACAAGCACTTTATACTTTTCTTCTTGGCTTTCCCGCTAATATGGATTCAACCGGGGTCTTATATTTGGGTTGCATTTGGCGTTTTGTTCTGTCACGTTCGCTTCTCTGGGCCTCAGTGCTACATCTTCAAAACATATCAGTCAGTTTGCCCTATAATCTTCGTTTCACGGTGACTACCCTGAGATGTTGTGAGTGATACAGGAGCCTGGGTGAGACTGTTCTCCGCTTAGACCTTGGGTTCAAGTTTTTCCGTTGAAATGAACAGGCACTGGAATACTTAACTGTAACATGTTTTTTCTTCGTACTTCAAGATGTTCATCCGCTAATTAAACTCGAGACATTTTCTTACAGAAACTTGTTTTTAAGAAATAGAGAACATTTTCCGTGTTTGTAGAATCGAGTTGTAGAAACACGAGCGGAAGTTAGAAAGAACTAGAAATGCTGTGGGAACACGAGACAAAGGTTAGTGTCACCACGATTTTATTAATGAACCCTTATTTCTAAACTCAGAGCGAAGGCTTGTTTAATTTCTTTCGAAAAACAGTGCGAGAACGATAGAAAATCACTGGTTTATTTCGATATCATAGTTTAATCCTCTTTGCGCTGACCTCCTTAATGCGATTGGTTCGCGATGTCAGCTTTTCGCTGATGGAACAATTTTCTTTCTTTGAACATGATCGCGCGCACGTTACCCATGAAAGGGTAAATTATTTTTAGTTTTGGTTACGGATCAAAATACCAAACTTTGAAGGTTCTTGGAGCCGCAACCTCGTTCCCCAAGGGAGGTAGAGAGAGGACCCTGGGAACGCGGTTGCTGGAATGTCTGGTATAAAATGTGCCTCGTTGACTGTTCACTCGTAGAAGAGTCGAGCTGCCCCTTACGAATAAAAATTACAATATTTAGGAGGAAACCACATTAACCTTGGCTGGTTTCATTCGGGTCCTCTATTCTGGACGAATTAAAATTTGGAGTGTTCGTTTTTGTGGAGGGAGAAAAACCGGAGAACTCGGAGAAAAACCTTCGCAGCAGGGCGAGAACCATCAACAAACTCAACCCACATATTGCACCGGACCGGACTTGAATCCGGACCCATTGGAGGGAGGAGATCTGGCGTTCCCACCTCTGCGCCATCCCTGTTCTCTCGCCTTAGAGCACACCTCCTTACTGTCAAAACGATAA